CCGTCCCACGTATCACGACGTTGGGCAGACAGCCGCAGTCATTGTTCAGAAGAAGGCCAACAAAAGCAGCAGGTTACGCCGTCGCGCACTCCCGGCACTCGCCACTATGATCGCCATTGGCGCCGGGGCAACAATGTGGTCAGGGAGTGGTCAGGGGTTAGGGGGCACTCAAGGAGAACGACTTGTCAAGATGATTCAGCATTCTCTTGCCTTGGCCAGGAAAGCACCTTTTTCATCCAAGACCTCAGGTTCCGGACGGTCGAGTCTGTTTTGGTGGGGAGCTGGTATTGCCACAGTCGCGCAGTTCTCGCTGTCCTTGACGCTGGGCATATGGGCTTGGTCCAAATTGGACGTCCAGGAAGAGTTCACACACTACCCGTCGAGGCGCGTGTCCAAGCCGTCCCGATACGTCCCACTGCTCAAGGTGCCGACATCGTCAACACCACTGAACGCAAGCGGTCGGGCAGTGACCGTGATCCGGGTTGTCGATCCCCAGGAGTGGCGGCCATTCAAGCTCGTCCGCAAGACACTCGTCTCTCCCAACGTGTACCGGCTGGTCTTTGCGCTGCCGCGCCCCGACGACATCTTCGGTCTGCCCACCGGTCAACATATTTCCCTGCGCGCCACCATCAACGGCAAGACTGTTGCTCGTTCCTACACGCCTGTCTCCAACAACAGTGATCTCGGCCGAATCGAGCTGCTCATCAAGGTGTACGACCAGGGCCTCCTGACCAAGCACCTCGAGGGGATGAAAGTCGGCGAGACGATTGATATTCGCGGCCCCAAGGGCGCCATGCAGTACAAGCCGCTCGAATATGCCAAGCACATCGGCATGATTGCGGGCGGCACCGGTATCACTCCAATGTTCCAGATGATTCGGGCTATCTGTGAAGACGAGACCGACACCACCAAGCTCAGCCTGCTGTATGCCAACAACACCGAGGATGATATCCTCCTGCGCGAGGAGCTGGACGGGTATGTGAAGCAATGCCCGGAGAAGCTGAGCGTCCACTACGTCCTGTCGAGGCCGTCAGAGGGGTGGACCGGCAGCAGCGGGTTTGTCAACGCCGATTTGATTAAGGAGCATCTCCCAGCCGCCGCCGAAGACACAAAGATGCTCCTTTGCGGGCCACCGCCTATGGTTAAGGCTGTTGGCAAGACTCTGGTTGATCTTGGGTTCAAGGCCCCAGGCGCCATGTCCAAGGCTACCGACCAAGTCTTCCTGTTCTGAGCAGAAGGTGAAGAGTACACATGCTAGTTGGAGTCTAACTCAGGGGTTTGTCCATGAAAATTGGGTGCGTCTGGGAGCTATCTAGAGGATTTGGTGGCATTCTTTTTTTCGGTTTCGTTTTCTGAATACATACCATTAGTGCTGTTTTTGTGCTGAAAATACAACTGTAACATTTGTCCTGTCTTGACATCTTGCTGCGTCGTCGTCTGTGACCAACTGAGAGACGAGTAATGGAGTGATGCCATGCCTAAGGGGCCCTCAGGTCCACCTGGGCATCTCACAAATATCAATTTGCCAATGACGGGTTGCTGATTGACAAGAGTGGGCTCTGTCCATGCCCTGGCTTCCCCCCTAGTATTCGTGAAAGCCTCCCAAAATGGGACTTCCAGGCCAAGGACGGGAGGAGCCGCAACGAGTGGGAGTGGCAAGGAACAGAAGTCTCGAGAAATCACTCGGGGTCCACAGTCGGAGCTCAGACGAAGGGCGGCCCGGCGGCGAGTGGAGAGCCGGAGCCGCGACCGGTGGTTCGGAATCGCGACTCGTTTCAGGAGAAACAGGGAAGGCCCCGGGCGCTGAAGGGGCACCGAAATACGGAGGTACTGTCCCCCAACGCCGCCCGTTCCGCCGCCTCCCGCACCGCCGCCATCAGCATATGTGCTCGCCTCCCGGTCATGCCGACGCCGACACGGGCATGGCGGGAGAGCGGCAGCGCTCGGCAGTGCGGGTAGCCGATGAGCCTGGTTTATAGCTCTGTAGTATCCCTCTGTGGACAACGGTGCGGTAGATCAAGATAAACAACACTGTCTTGACCAACCTACACACACGTTGAATCACCCTACCACCATCTGAAGGAAATCATCTATCCAGAATAACCCCAATATGGTCTGGCAACGCCCCCTCATTGGTTCCCGGCCAGTTGCTGTGCTTGGTGCAGGTGTCCTCGGCCGCCGTATTGCCTGCACATTCGTTGCTGGAGGCTATAACGTCCACATCCGCGATCCCTCTGCCGAGGCGAGGACAGCTGCTATCCAGTACATCGACGAAAACAAACAACAATATGCCCAGAACCTTCCAGTCAGTGTCGGCGTCGTGCGGCCGGGGATCTACGCGGCGTTTGAGGACATCCCTTCTGCTGTCAGCGGGGCATGGCTCGTCGTCGAGGCCGTCCCGGAGAAGATCGAGCTCAAGATCGAAACCTTCGCCGAGCTAGACCGCGCCGCTCCATCAGACTGTATCCTGGGCTCCAACAGCTCGTCGTTCAAGTCGAGCCTGATGCTGGATAAGGTCGCCAATAGGGACCGCCGGCGTCTGATCTGCAACATCCACTACACCATGCCCCCTGACATCCGTACCGTCGAACTAATGACCGACGGCGAGACGGAACCCGCCATTTTCCCCTTCCTGAGCGACATCTTGACCAAGTGCGGCATGCTCCCGGCGACGGCGAGGAAGGAGTCAACCGGGTAAGTCCCCTATTCTCAAGCAAACAAGCTGGTTGTGTCAATACTGATCTCGCTGCATCTTTCCAGCTTCATCTTCAACCGCCTCTGGGCCGCCGTCAAGCGCGAGATTCTGCTCATCCTCGACGAAGGCGTCAGCGACCCGCAAGAAATCGACAAACTTTGGGAGCACATGTTCCAAGCCAGGGTGACGCCGTGTCGGTTGATGGACAGAGTTGGCCTTGACACAGTTGCGTTCATCGAGGACAACTACATCCATGAGCGTGGCCTCGATGGCACGCACACGGTCGGCTTCCTCCGGGAGAACTACATTAACAAAGGGCGTCTCGGTCTGAAGAGCGACAAGGGCGGCCTCTACCCCCCTGCTGCCCCTGAGCGTCATGAGACGGTCTCCCAACCAGACGTATACCTCTTGGACGTTGGCCTTGGTGGAAACTTGGAGAACTTGGAGTCGGTAACCACCAACGGCAAGATTCTCCGCCGTGACGGCGCCACCGGCAAAGTCAAAACCCTCGTCTCCGGTCTCCCAGCCCCTGACGGCATCGACATTTCGCCCTCCACCGGCCGCATGTACTGGACCAACATGGGCGCAAGCCTGTCCGGACGCAACGGATCAGTCCAGTCAGCCCGTTTAGACGGCACCGATGTGCAGACGCTCATTTCCCAAGGCGGTGTGCATACCCCGAAGCAAGCCGTGGTCGTTGAGTCCCAGCAAATGCTGTACTTTTGCGACCGCGAGGGCATGGGCGTCCACCGAGTCAGCCTGGACGGCAAGAAGCACGAGGTTCTCGTGCAGAGGTCACCGCCCGCGGATGATAGCTGCCCCCTTGCGGCACTCACGAGTTGGTGTGTTGGCATTGCTGTTGATGAGAAGGCGGGCAAGATCTACTGGACGCAGAAGGGCGCCAGCAAGTCGTCGCAGGGGCGTGTCTTTAGAGCGAACATTGATATCCCCGCCGGTGAGACGGCGTCAAACCGGTCGGACATTGAATTGGTGTTTGAGAACCTGCCAGAGCCCATCGATCTTGAGATTGATGCCGAGACCGAGACGCTGTACTGGACGGACCGCGGTGAGCACCCGCGTGGCTGCTCGTTGAACTCTGCGTTTGTTGGTGTGTTGAAGGGCAAGCCGGATATCATTGCTCGGCATTTCCATGAGCCGATCGGGTTGAAGTTGGACCTTGGACGGCGCCAGATTTTCGTGACTGATCTTGGTGGCAGCCTGTACAGCGTCAATGTTGACACTGGTGTCAAGACTGTGCTGTTAAATGACGATGGCTGCTACACTGGTATTACTGCGACTGACTAGATGTTCTTTTACCGGCGGGGACTTCCCAATGTGGTCATGGGAGGTTGGGTTGATTTTCTGTTGGGCATCTGCACATGAGCTTAGCGTTGAGATACTGGATAGACTATGAATGGGAAACCGGGTCACTAAGTGAAACAACCCATCACGGCAAAAATTGTGATAGACCAAAAACGAGTTGAGGCGAGTGTGTCTGTGTTTTTTGTAACGGGCTGAGCCCGTCGACGGCCTCAGAGACTCTCGGCCATGGAGACCTCTAACGCCATGATCCAGCGTCTTGGCCCATCAGCGCTATGATCCGTCACTGCCCATACAACCCCATACGACCTCCATCACCATTACGCATTCCCTGATGCGGATGACATACCATAGCACGCGTTCCCCCTCTGGTCATAAGAACAAGGCCACCTCGTAGGAACAGTTACTTTCCTTTCTCTTCTTTCTTCAAGTTTAGAGTACTCGTAGAGTCGTCATCAGCTAGTTGCAATACACTTGTTGGGACCGTTACACCATCTGCCTCAGGGGATGCGTAATGGTGATGGAGGTCGTATGGGGTCGTATGAGCACTGACGGATCATAGCGCTGATGGACCAAGACGCTGGATCATGGCGTTAGAGGTCTCCATGGCCGAGAGTCTCCGAGGCCGTCGACGGGCTCAGCCCGTTACAGATGGCGTGTCATGGCCCGCACTCTTCCTCTGGTCATAAGAACAAGGATACCTCGAGGGAACTGTTACTTTCCTTTCTCTTCTTTTCTTCAAGTTTAGTGTACTCGTAGAGTCGTCATCAGCTAGTTGCAATATACTTGTTGAGACCGTTACAGTTTTTATCTAGGCTGTATGTGACGCTTGTGGTGGAGGGTAGGTGCGTTGGGAAGTGTTTAGGGGCGGTATTAAATTCTTCTCCAATTTAAACTCGTACAGCCTGTAGTAACAGAGGAACGAAAATAAAGGGGCATAGGTTTGTGGACCCAAAAGGCGGAGGAAAAAGGTAGAAAAAGTAATCGACCAGCCTGGGACTCGAACCCAGAACCTTTACCAGCCAGGGAAGCACCGGAAAGTAACGCGCTACCATTGCGCTAGCCAGCCAATGAGAGGTTGATGAAAAAATACTCTAATAAACGCATGATTGAGTTGTAATTTAGAGATACTCGCAGTGTGACGGGCCCCAAGGTCAGGTCAGCTCGCACATACAAGACTGATATTGCTATGAAGAGAGCAAGAGCTAGGTACAGGCGTGCTACCAGGCCTTAAGTCCTGGAGCAGAGGTTTGTGTTATGGTCATGACAGGCATATGGCGTGACCATGACATAGGAACAGGAGAGGTCCGTGACATGCAGGAAAGGTTAACAAGTTTCCCAAGTGTTCTTAGTACCAAAAGTATTCTAATAATGGAGACTGCTAATTTTTCTTATAGTATACAGTTTGGCACTGCTGTAAGAGACAGAACAAAGTCATACTCTTCTAAGTATCTAGAGCTTGACAGTTACTGACAAGTCAAAACCACTAACGTACTTGCATAACGGGTCGGCCAGCATAACGAGTCGGCCACTTTTCTTCCCTTTACAACCTTTTAACTTCGTTGCCAATTTCATCCACAAAACGCAATGGAATCTCTTCCAAAAGAAAGTCGCGTTATTCTTGCACTCAAAGCTCTTGACAAAGACCCCAAACTTTCCATGCGAAAAGCTGCTACGATCTACGAGATTCCACGAAGCTCGCTCCAAGACCGACGCGCTGGAAAGCAACCACGATGCGAATTACCTGCCAACCTTCGGAAATTGACCGACTTGGAAAAAAAAGTGCTTCTTGAGAGGGTACTCGACCTTGATACGCGAGGATTTCAGCCCCGGCTCTCCGACGTTCGAGAAATGGCAGATCGCCTTCGTACGACACGCGACGCGTCGCGTGTCGGACCCCGATGGGCGAACGGCTTCGTGAAACGACATCCCGAGCTTACGACGCGTTTCCGACGTCGAATCGATTACCAGAGGGCCCAATGCGAAGATCCCGACGTGGTAAACGCGTGATTTCGTCTCGTACGAAATGTGGTTGACAAGTACGCGATCCAAGAGGGGGATATCTACAATTTCGACGAGACTGGGTTTATGATGGGCATGCTCTCGGCTGCAAAGGTCGTGACAAGCTCCGAACGCCGTGGCCGGCCTCGTACGAAGCAGCCTGGCAATCGGGAATGGGTTACGGTGATCCAGGCTGTGTGTGCGGATGGCTGGATCGCGCCGCCGTACTTCGTCGTCAAGGGAAAAAACCACCTCCTCCCCTGGTACCAGGACAGCCGATTCCAGCCCGAATGGAGAGTCCACACGAGCGAAAATGGCTGGACGACAAACGAGATTGGTCTCAATTGGTTAAAACATTTTGATCAGTCTACCAAGCATCGTACGAAGGAGTATATCGACTGCTCATCCTCGACGGCCACGAAAGCCACCACTCGGTCGACTTCGAAGATTTCTGCAAGGCCAACAACATTATTCCGCTTTGCATGCCTCCTCATTCATCTCACTTCCTCCAGCCTCTCGATGTCGGGTGTTTTAGTCCGCTCAAGGCTTCGTACGGCAAGCAAATCAGCAGATGATGCGGATGCAAATCACCCACATCACAAAGGAGGACTTCTTCGACGCATTTGTTGAGGCGTTCTGCGCCTCTATTACGGAAAACAACGTACGAGCAGGCTTTCGAGCAGCTGGACTTGTCCGACCCTAAGCCAATTACCCCATCTCCTCCGAACTCACGTCCTGGGACGGCCTTGTCTTGGGTCCCGAAGACCCCGTCTAATGCGTACGACGCGGCCCAGAGCTCGAGCACTCTCAAGCGCAAGATCGAAAACCATCAAGGCAGCTCTCCTACCCATATTTTCGACGTCATCGACTTGCAGGCAAAGAGCATCTCGAAATTGGCGTACGAGATGGTATTGCTCCGGGCCGAGAACAAGGAGCTTCGTACGGCAAATGAGCGGAAAAGCAAGCGACGCAGGATAAAAAAAACACGTCTGCAGGATGGAGGATCACTTAGTTTACAAGAGGCGACGGTTTTGATAGCTGATCGGGGACTTAGTGGTCAGGATTGCGAGGAAACGTCTCGGAGTGGTGGTCGTACGAATGCAGGTGAGCCGCACGTTCGGCTCTGCAGCAACTGCAAGAAGCCTGGCCATAATGTACGAACCTGTCAAGTAGTATGCGAGATGTCTGAGGAAAGCGATTCCGAGTAGTTTTAATTGATCTGAGCTATTGTGGTTGAATTGACTTATATAAAGTAATAGAGGTTTAGGAAAAGTGGCCGACTCGTTATGCTGGCCGACCCGTTATGCAAGTACGTTAGTTAAGTTAATCAATCTCAAAATTTGTACGTCTACTTCGAGTAGACTAGGAATTTGAAATGTTTTGAACAATACAATTGAGACTCCCTATAGGCTACTTATATGCAAAAAGCTCACTCGGCTCCCGCCACGAGGGACTAACTCAAGCCTCGATCTGCCCGAGCACCCGAACCCTCATTCAACTCTACACTTAAGCCTCCTTCCGCAGCGCAGCCCTCCGAGAAGTGCTGTTGGGATCGAGATACGGCCTCTCGCCGAGACCAACCGCGCGGTTGCCAAACCGCTCGCCGTAGTTGCCGTCGAGAAAGTCGTAAGTGGCAGTGTGGAAGACGGACCTGTTGTCCCAGATGGCTGGTCTAGTCAGCATCCACTATCCCCAACACTTGAATAATCAAGAGACATACCAAAGTCATTCTCATTGTTCCACTTGAAGCGAACCTGCAGATCATGGTTCTTGTAGAGCAGATCCAAGAACCAGTTCAGCAGCTTGGAGCTCTCCTCCTCGGTGACATCGTTGATGTGGCCGACGTGGATGCCCACGGGGAAGACGCTCTTCCAGCCGGTGACCGGGTTGGTGCGGACGACGGGATGGCTGGCCTTGAGCTCCGTGCCAACGTTTTCGGGGGCGCCGCGCGGGCCTTCAAAGATCTTGAAGCCGGAGCGCTCGGCCACCTGGTTGAAGCCGGGCTGCGCAAACGTGACGGAGAGGGTCTCGAGGAACTTCTGCACCGGCTCGCTGATGCGGTCGTAGATCTCGTAGCCGGAGGCCCAGAGGGTGTCTGCATCATGTCAGTAACCGCCAATGTGAGTGTGGCTCAGGGGCAACTGACCTCCTCCGGTCTTGGGAAGCTGAACCAGGCGGAGCGAAGTGTAGTCGGCCGGCACGGGCTCAAAGGCAATATCGCTGTGCCACTGGGCGCTGCTCTGCTGCTTGGGGCTAAGATCAGACTTCTCTGCACCCCTAGAGTAGTACTTCTTGTTTTGGATGGAGCTGATGGTGCTGATCTCGAGGTCGTCGCCGCCCAGCTCGCGCTGCGAGTTCAGGACGGGGTGAATATGCAGGCCCGAGGTAGCAGGGCGGCCGGTGAGCTCGCCCAGGCGGAGGATGAGCTTCTTCTGGAGGTCATTGGTGAGGTTGTCCTGGGCGCGGAAGAAGACGACGCCGCGTTGCGAGACTGGTATTGTCAGCTGAACCGTCACAGCATAATTAGAAGCCCATTGGTGCTTACTAGTAATGGCAAGGTCCCTGATCAGCTCATCCGCGTTGGGAGCGTCAAGCCACTCAACGAGGTTGGCCTTGGGAAACTCGCGGCCGATGATAGGTGTGACATCGAAAGACTCATACGAGTCAAGCGCCCCGGAGAGCTTGAGGGGCTCGTGGGCAAGCTTTGCCTTGGTGTTGACCGACTTGGTGTTGATAGGGATATCGACGGGAGTGTCGACTGCGACTGCGGAAGGGGCCATTGTGACGGTTTGACTGGGTTTTAAATACAATGTACGGAGAAGGATGGGAGTGTTGGGTTGAGGTGCTGAGATGCTGGTAATGGATCGGTGGTTGACAAGCCGGGCCTTTTGCCGTTCTTTATACAACCTTTGTTGACACGGAACCTTCTTCCTCCCAAAATTCACGAGATGGATTTACATCAGCAACTCCTTCATCCGTTGCGAGCCCCCCGCATTCCTCTCCGATGTTGCATCCGAACGCTAGATCACTGTGGATTTGCAGAAGCGCTGTCAAGTAGTTGTCGAATGAGCGTCGTGATGACTGATGACGAACTACTGATGGTGTTGTTCGCCATCGTCTTCAAGTGGTTTGAAACGGCCGGCCTCCCGGGGACACGGCACACCGCGTGCCGTTCGTTGGAGAAGGCCGATGCGAGTTCAAACAACACTATCTTCTTTCCGGAGATTCTGCGGGCTCGGGAGAGATGGGAGCGGGGTAGAACACCATCCGGCATCGCATTCTAAGGCGTCAAGAATATCGAACGGCGGCCAGTAGCCCCCGATCCGTCGATGGCGTAAGGCCGAGCCCCCACGTTGTGATGCGTGTGCGCGGCCGTCTCGGGATATCTGACACGACATGATTGGAAGCTTGAGTTCTCAAGAATTCGGTTTCGCTTTCTGACAACCACCTTCAATCCGGTATTCGCGGAGATAATGCAGGTTGGTGGTGGTGAGGGATAGGTTGGAGTGGTTTGGGCACGGCGGTTGGATGCCGCCATCGACATGGTAGCTTTGGTCAATGACCACTGGCCAATGGTTAATTCTGTAATTCTGTACTTATCAATGCCTCAAAGCGCCAGAGAAGTCACGGGAAGTCGCGTCAGACGCTGGTGCGAGCACGTCTCATCACGCAATGGCTCCCCCTTGATGCTTGTCTTGGCATCAACAACAGGGGTTCGGTGGGAGAGGACGGTTGCTCTCCATCTCAAACCCTAGATTCCAAGCTCCCAATGTTTTGTTATCGAGAGCGATGAATAAAAAATTCATCTACCGCTCTGTTGTCTTTCCAACTTTTTTTTTTTATTTCTCTCCCTTGGTGATGCACCCTCACCAAACCCCACCGTGCGCGATGAAGTTGGAAATCCGTCTCTTCTGGGACAAACACACTACCTCTTGATGTGGTCCATCCAGAGGGACTCTAATCACACAACAAAAGAGGATGTTGCTCGTCCCCGGGGGCTTTGTTGGGCTGTCGAGCACCTCATTGTGGGCTTGGCCCCCCCCTTATCCCCGTCGATGGCCGCAGATC